ATAGAAAATTGATCAAGGATCACGATAGGGAAGGTTTCAAGTCGATATCTTTTACCGGTTTGCCGCAATCGGCGCGGAAATCTGAAAAAGTTAAAATTCAAAGTAAAAGTTCGCTACCCTCAGGGTATCTTAGGCATATATCAAGGAGTGCGTAAACCAAAAACGAGCCTGATCGGACTTGTCAGTCGGCGGCCAGAGCCTAAATTCTAAACAAACAAAAATGCCGATAATGTTTACTTTGACCTGACCTGTGACATCATCAGTGACTTCGAGGTCAATAAAAATAGGTTTCGCTCGACAGTTTTCAAGGGCTATCAGACGCTGTTTGAATTTTGACGATCGGCCCAGTAGTTTCGGAGATAGGAGGGGGGGGCTGTGGAAAGCCCCCCCCCCCCCCCCTCAGTCACTCGCGTTATGGAAAATACCCCAGTCATGCGCGGGTTAACGCGACAGAACAAAACACAATCAGCTAATAATTGCAGTAGGCAGGACGTTATCATGACTTTCAGATCATAGCGTAGGCAGAAAACACTTCGTGTTCATAGCGAGTAGCGAATAGCGTAGCGTAACGTAGAATGGGACCAGCAGTCGGCAGTGTCCCCCTTAATTAAAGGTGTTCCGCCGCCACTGAGGCAGGTAGCACTATGTAGGGGAAGCGGGGGGAACACCGCCACTGTGGGAAACACCGCCACCCCATCTGGCGGCGAAAGTATGAACTATAAAGTGTAAAAATCCGTTATTTCCTATTAACCGCACGAAGGTAAGCGTCTTCTGATTTGTGTTCCGGTGTTTCAGTGTAATCGAAGCTCATTGTGGGCATTTAAAGAAAAATGCACATTCTCTTATAAAAATTCGATGAGTTGGGAGCACTTTTGAATGTCTTTAAGTAGAGACTCATTTTGATTTACTTGATTACATCGAAAAATAACTGATCGGCTTTGTCCAGTAAGATAGGTTTGCTTGAACCGTGTAGTACATTCTTGCCGCTGGCGATTTTTGCTTGTGATCACTTATTGGGGAACACCGCCACCCCGTGGCGGTGTTACCCCAATTGAGGTTGCGGTGTTTCCTGTTCGTAGCGTGATAAGTGATGAAATTCCAAAGACACGCTTTATTTATGTTCGTAGATGTTCCTAAGTCGGGAATAAGCAGCTTATTTGACTTTTTACTTTATATTTTTCATGCATCCCGACCAAGCACTTGCCAGCTGTATAAAACTGGCAAACAGCTGATGAACCTATACCTATTTAGGTGTCCATTACCGATTATTTGCGAAAATTACCACTTACCGACAGGAAACTCATCGCACGCGATCTCTGAACAATTAAAAGCTTTCGTAGGGATGGGTTGGGTTAACATCAACACCGGTGGCGGGGTTACCCACACAATTTGTAGGCGGCAAATATGCAAGGTATTTTTAAAAGTCGTGATACATGAAAACCTTTTAGGAGCATGCAAAATAAGTACCTAAAACACGTGAGCAAATGTTTAAATATTGTAACCAAGACAATAACTACCAAGAGACTTCACACATATTCTCTCATTTTGGCGAAAAGCTTAGGGGGGCGGTGTTACCCCCGCCTCCCCTATATGTAGTGTTACCTGCCCATGCTATGAGCAGAACCTATAGGTAGGTGCAGCAGTAGCATCGCTCAATCAGGGCAAAGTGGCGTCGTTACTTCCAACATGGTATCTCATTCTTCCAAGGAGCATTGCAACTTCCGCTAGGAAGATTTGAAGTTCCAGTATAAGGTCCATCGTCACCTCAGAGTTCAGGTAGCTATCACAGCTTCCGGATACCGGTATCACATTTGACATTACAACATCCAATTGATCACGTCGAACCTACCGCCCGGTTGGGGCATATTAGCTATCTGTCAGGGGGAGTGTGACCTTTTTTAGCGGCATTATATGGGTACGTTAGTTGGTATTGAATTGATACACGTCGATGAAAAAGGCAGATAAATGCAGCAAAAAAATATGCGACTCTAATCCCTTGTAATCACAAATATCTAAATAAACGTTAGCTGAATCTGAAATGTTAGAGATGTCACCAACAAATATGAGAGCCTCAAACCATATATATCATAATTGGCAGCTATTCGATGGAAAACATACCTTTTCCGTAGGGCAAAATGCAATGTAGGTATCCGATGAACGACATATGCAGTAGTGGCCACACCCTCTAAATCGACCGTTCAAGGATTCCGAAAGTGAACGTGGGTAAGGACGATGCCGAAAGCAAGCAAAGACAAAGTAGCCACATTCATTGGCTTCCAGTCCGGTTCACTGATAGCGGTGTGCCCCAGCTTCTGATTCTCCGTGTTCCCGCTCCTTCCATCCATCTTCGACATGGCTCGTCCATTCTGGCGTGCGGCCATTATTTGTCTGGTGACAATTCCCGTGCCTTTTCTCCCTGCTGGCCTTCTTATTCCTCTCTCCGTGACAGTGGCAGTCTTTTCTCTCCGCGCCAGCACACGAGAGCGGCTCGATTACCAATATGTTATTGATGACCTGCTCGTATATTGTGGACCGCGACCTGGGAAATTCTGTCAGACATTAACCGTTGCTGTCGTACTTATCCGTCCGCGAATAACTTCTAAAAGCTAAAGAAGATCTTTACAGTTACTGCTGATAGCCAGCCACGTCCTCGGTTGTCTTCTCTCAACGAAACACAACAAAAGCTATATTTTTACGAAGCTACGTTATAGTAAAGACGTTACAATACTAACGTAGTGTGGTTACCGTGCATATCTTATAAGACAGCACTGACGCCACGCGCTTGTGCTAACAAATCACTGCAATTATGAATCCAGAAAACCCTCTCCTTTGTTGCCAAACTTGGGATCAAAGTTAGCAGAAACTGCGTAAACGGCCGGTCGGATTTCCGCTTTGACAGACGCTGCCCCAGAGGCCTGCGTGTGACGCCAATTAGCGAGGAGCGGCTGTCGAGGATGAATGGCCGGCGCGGCGCAGCTCTTCGTGAGCTGTCCCAGCCGTATGCTCAAGTTGTGCTGATTTGACGAGCCTTCCGCCAATTAGACAACGGAACGAGAACTCAATGCTGTTCGGGACAAGTGCATATTAGTGAAAAAAAAACCGTCTATTTAAAAATGCCTGGCAGAATTATACATGAAAAGGTTGAAAAATATTTCGCTTAGTTTTTTTTTTGACATGCTATAACAAAGCTATATATACTATATAGCTTTTTTTGGAATATCATACAGCAGAGGACTGTGAATATGGTCTTCTAATCAGACACGCACAACTTTGACCACACATAAAAGTACGGTGACGAACATCCTGGGTCACAATCACTCAACCAATCAGCTCTTTTGTGTCATCTTTATTACATACAAGAAGCATGTGGACTGGTAGCTGTAGATCTAACGATTTAACTCTTCTGTAGAATTTTACTACAGCCTACCATTTAGAAAAGTTGAAACGGCAGACGATTGAAAAGATTCTTTACGAAACCGTCTCACATAGTTCGGGGAAGGTTCCATCGATTCGCTGCAGTCAGCACCGGCGGCCGGACCAGCCTGCAGAGCTCCAATCGCGGTACGGGGGAGCATCCCAGTCCCGAGGCTCGGGCAGGCGCTCTGGCCGCCCCCATCGCGGCCCATCGCTCGCCACCGGCCATCATGGGCGACATGGTTCCTGAGGCCCGCTAAAAAGGTTTTACTTCCGTCTGCTATCGCCAGGAAGGGAAGAGTGATGGGTGCGATGACGTAAAAACTCGCTAATGGTCCACAGATCAACCGTGCTCGGAGAATTCCACCGACAAAGTTTGGTCATAAGGTTTGGCACGCCGGGCTAGTGTCACTAGGTAAAATGGGAATTATTCGAAGATATCCTTTTTTTAACGTTTATTCAATATAAGCACATCATACATAGGGCACTCACGGCAGGCTGGGTAACGAGGCTGATCTCTCACGTGATCGAAGATATCCTATACCTTATAGCATAGGATAATATGCAGCACCTGAGCTGGATGATATCGATGAGGTAAGCTCAAATGTGTACCTCAGAAATATTTGCTTTAGCAGCACCTTGTCCTCCAAACAGTCTAGTAGGAAGGTTTTAAAAAGAAACTCCGATAAAAACAGCGCACAAAAAACAGAAGTCACCCTAAAAATAAACCTTCAAAGTTAATACCTTTTTCCTCCCTGTCCCCATCCACCTTATCGCGCTATCTCGGGCCCTCCTTGCGCGGCATTTTTCAGCTGTTCGCCGGGCGGGGTCGGCGCAGGCTCCGTCTGAGAGGAAGCCTCCGGCGTCGGCCGGTGGACGCCAATTTCCCCCGGGTGCCCTCCTGGCCGGCACTAACACGGCCAGACACGCTCCGCCGGGAGGGGAGCAGAAGAGGAGAAAGAGGTGGAGAGGTGGTGGATAGTGCGGCGTGTTAAGCTGGTGACGTGGGATTATAAAGTGGTGTAGACACGATAGGGGTAGAACGTGGCATGTTTGATGCGTGGGGTGCACAAAACTGTGCATGCACTATTTTATAGACATATGAAGGATGTGGGCTGAGGGACCTAATCTAGCAACCCAGAGAAGACATTGATTTCTAGCCATCAACACCTGTAAATACCAAAAAAGCCGAATAAAGCCTGCTGAATATGCAGATTCTATAAACACACTGTATGCTATAAATCGCATGAGTTCTATCACACACATACACATACACTGTTTTCCCTACAGAATTAATCCTACCCTAAGTTGTGTATATAAGTTGCGTACGGAACGTAGAGACTACATACCTTTGACATGGCTGGACAATCTGATAAACAATAATCGAGCGCTCACAAAGCAGCTGAATTTACTAGATGGGCCTTGACTGTCCGCGAGGTGATCAATTATGTGCTCCTGATCGACTCCAAACCCATCCGGCCCTCCATCTGCACACATTCAGCCGGCGAAATGGGCCTCAACTGGGTCGTCCGAGATCAATCAACCCCATAAAATCATCGAATCGCCACGGCGTTCGAGAAACTGACCTGTGAGCAGCAGTAGCAGGAGACAGAGCCATCTGGCCAGTAGCCATCCCCCGATCGGCATTCCTCCGGGACGGACGTCACACGCCGCCGACTGACCAATCAGCGCGCCGCGCCGCTCGCCGGTCGGCCAATCAGCGCGCCGCGCCTCATACCTCTGACGTCATCCGCCGGCAGTTTGCATGACATTCGGCTGAGAACTGAAAAGGTCAAATAAAAATTATCAACAATAACCTAAATCAAATGCCACAAATCGAAAAAGGCGACATTGCATGAAAGGAAATAAGCTTAAACACAAAATAAAGCCAAGAAGGTCTACCAGCAAGACGGTAAAAGAATATGAATGCATTACACAATGAGTGTAAAGGAGAACCAAAGCCAGAGAGGCCGTCCCGGTGGCATGTACTCCTATAAGACCTGTTGGGACAGCATGTCCTGCCGCTCGAACGGTCACCCAAGAGAAGATGTATTGTCCACTGAGGAGCTTTCCTCAACGGTTGTCAGGTGGACCGTTCACCGCCAGCCGTGCCAACTACTATGTAATGTGAGGGAGGGTGCGGCTTGATAGGTCCTAAGGAATGCAGGAACGGATGATTGTCAGATGCACTTAAGCGCTTTAAATAACAAGGACTGGTTGCACGTTGGTGTTATATTATCGTTCCACGTTTTCAACGTCATACGAATTTAGGATACCAGGAAAAGTCAGCTAGATTGCAATCTTCCTTCCCAGCACCTGTCGCACTTTCCATCACCTGTGTTACATAACCGAAATAGTGTGATCCTGAGGCGGCTTTGGAGCGTCGTGAGCTTATCACCGTGCTGTTACCACCTGAGTCGACTCTCGCACGTTATGGCAACCTTTAGGAAGTTGGCTCCGTTCGCGACCTTTGACGCCGGGTCAATGGGTTCGGGTGCCGATCATGGTCGGAGACACTGCCCAGTGCACTGCGTGACTGCATTAGATGGGTCTGTGAGGGACTGGGAGACCATCGATGACAATTTGTAAAGTCAGCTTCACTTTTCGTGGCCCGCCATCGACAGTTTCGGAAAACCGTCGTTTTGAGAATGAGAGACGCGCGGAGTATAGTTTAGAATAAAATGTAAGACATAGCAAGCTAAAAAAAAAATACCCACTTCAAAAACTGTAACTCGACAATGCGAACAGCAATAACAGGCATAGGGGATCAAAACTACCCGAGGATCAAAATAAGTTACCACCAAAATAGTAGCGTGTAAATGATATAGATCTCCCACACCCCATTTTACGTCCCTTCCGTTCTTTTCTTACACACCTTTCACCACTCATCGTTCCATACGATTTGGACTCCTGGTCACTCAACACGACCACTTAGGCCCTCTTCCTCTTCTGCAGCTTTCCTCACTTTGGCCTCCGCTCGCTCTTCCCGACCCTGGCCCTCTCTCTACTCTGCATTCCGCCACACTCTACCTGTCAGTTGTCCGTTGTTTCATTGATCGGCAACCAGCTCAGCCGTTGCGAAAACCGGGGGACGACTAGGAAGAGGATAAGAGTAAAAAGGGAAAAGAGAGAGAGTGAGAGAGAGAGAAAGAGAGAGAGAGAGAGAGAGAGAGAGAGAGAGAGAGAGAGAGAGAGAGAGAGAGAGAGAGAGAGAGAAAGAGGAGGGAATAGGAAGAGAAAGTTAGGGAGTGAGCGAGATGTGAATGAGCACAAACGTATAGTACCTACAATACCTATGTAAATGGTGGCAAATGTAAAGAAAGAATAAAGTGTGAAAGTTACATAGGAGGCAAAGAAACTAATAAAACAATACAAACAATATCTTATTACGTTTGTATATTGTTCGCGGAGGATATTGCAATAAGTAGCATGCAGTAGACCATCATGGGATAACAAAGTAACCTTATTGTGTTTGTCACCATCGAAGCATATCTCGAGGAAATGAAGTTACTTCTCCAGACATAAGGTTTCTAACCACCCACGCGCGGACTGCATTTTGAAGATATGCCAATATGCAGCTAGTTTTATTAGTTCAATACCAATGTTCTTCGCTCAGCACTTGGCAAACAAACAAAACGGTAACAGTATGTTCTTATCTTGGTGGTAGAGCTATCAGTTGAGACAGTTTTTAATCATTTGCTGTTCAAGCGGTTCATGGGAAAATGCAAAGCCGTATAGAGGAGGCAAAAAACACCATAAGATTACTGATGCAACGATGCACTCGCGCAAGACTAAACTAAATCCAATCCAGGCACCACGACCTCTGAGGTCTATCTGGATAATTCAGGAAGGGTCCCTGGGTGGCCGTTTCGGACCGGTGGCATCTATGGGACTGGAGAGGTCACTGGTCGGGCCCAACTATTGACTTGCCGAGCACCGGAAGTCAGAGCTCGTGGGCGCGAGTGCAGCTCTCTGAAAGACGAGGTCAGGCAGAGTGCCTGTGGGAAGGAGGACGGATGAATTGTATACTGGGAGAGATGAATGAAAAGTATTAGATAAGACAGGGGAAAGGGAAGATAGACAAAACTCGGACTAATTGATTCAATTAGGTATGCCCAAAGCTCCTACATATGAGACGCCAGTGTCACAGTTTTGACACCCCTCCCTCTCCACAGTTTCTCTGGAGCGCGTCTGTGACTGCTGCTTCTCACCGTATAACCAGCTGAAGAGCGGCCAACATGTGGTCCGTCAGTCAACATGTGTACGTCAGTCAAACATCCATAAAATCATGTTCAATATCAAACACTATATTTACATATAAGAAGTTGTCGCGTTTCACCAAAACGACTCGGCGATCATCACTATTGCAATCGCTGCCGCCTGCCTTGAAGGCCACCACCTCCCGTGCTTGGCCAAAGTTTCCGGCGAGTTTGGCGCTTTAGCGGGACCGGCGGTATACTTCCAAATACCAAACACATCTTACTTGAAGTTCAAGGTTTATGTAAAGGTCAGCCGTCTCCACGGCGCGTCGAAATTTATCCACGATGTTCAAAGGCAGAGCGTTTATGGCTTTCGGTCAATGATTCGGAGTTGCTCGTTCACAGTCTTCCTGGGCTGTCGTATCAACGGGCATTTGTCCTAAACCAGCGTCGTTTTTTCACTAGCCTCACCAATTTTCACTGAAGTGGGTGCAACTGAAGAAACGTAAACTGTTAACACTTGAGGTAGTTACGTGAAGACGTCTTTCGGTATCGTGACATTCAAACACTTGTTTCTTTTTCTGCTGTATGCATACTTAAATTATATGTGATGGAAGTATCTAGATAGCGAGCAATGGTGATGCAAAGTAGTTCGCGAGGACAGACCCATAATTGCCACGACATGCATGCATGCTCTAAATGTTTCGACAACATGCAATTATGCATTAAACCAACTCTAGAAAAGTTCACAGCCTAAGGGTCTGAATTTAACATCACTAATGCATGGATATCGAAACTTCGTACCACCTCCAATTTCTGAACTTTGCATCAGAGCGCCGATTACGACTTCAAACTGTCGATACCACTTTGCAAATTATCGACACAGCCACGACCGCCAATCGACAGAGCGAACTCAGCGAACTTCCAGCGCTCCATGACACCGTTCCGACAAAACAGCTCGAGCGGGGCCGTCTCAGATGGTCGTGCTCGAGACACTTCAGAGCTGAGAGCGCTCCCGGCGGCTCCTCGTCGGGTTCTCGGGTCATTGCCGAAAACGTCCCAGCGAGTCGCCTCCGCGTGGCTGAAGACAGTTCGTCGTCCACGACAGTCGAGCCGGGGACGGAGACGACGGCGGTGACAGGCGCCGAAAGCATTCGATGGAGTCAGTGCCGGGTGAGGAGTCTGGAGTGGGAACTGGAGCTCAGGCGCCCATACTTAGAATGCAATGAAAAGTTCCCTTGTCAAATTGTGGGATGCAGTGTGAGTTGATACAGCCTATTGTTAGGTACCTAAGTAATGTGATAGCAAATGGCTGCGTCGAGAGCTATGGGGACGCAGTTGTTCGAGCACCATACATGACGCCTGGGCGTATACCAGCTCATTGAATCCAAATATTGGATTCAAAAAATGAGATTTTTTTAATACTTGCTCACAATAATCAGCCTGAATGAGATTCGGCCTTTGAACTTAGTTTTATACCTATATCCACTGCATTTGCGTATTACATACATAAGCATGCAATTCATATCGCATGTGAACAGGAAAATAAGTGTGTATGAACTAAGATTCTATTGTAAGCAGTCTCGCCATTCATATGAGATGCCATCCACCATAAAACAGTGGAGCACAATTGATGGTCAACCGCCATGTTCAAATGCCGAGCCGACAAGCTGCTATTTGTTACCTTCTTTATGTCGATTATTGACCTAAGGTAAGACAAATTTCCCAGCGAGCTAAAGAGATCTTGATAAATAGTACGGTTTGCTGGCTAGCCTTCTTCCATTTTGTTTAAAATGCTAACGCCCAAAGTTTCTTTAGAACACTGTTTTTTTTTTTAGAGACAGCCCTTTAAAGTCACTCGCTAATCGCTATAGGGAGGCATTTCACAATTCACGGCATTGCAGACAGCATAGAAGCGTGGATACTTTACAAGGTGAGCGAGGATGAAATCCCTCTTCGACCAAAAAAAATGTGGTCTGAATATGCATTTTGGATTGTAAAACGAGAGGGTGACATGTGTAGGCACAATAGGATGTTAGTTTGCGTTTCACACCTCATAATGGAAAGTTTTGGAGGAAGTTTATCAACCTATAAATGTACCCATGCAAATATCTTGCACGATAGAAATATGTATGAGAAGAATGACATGCATCTGAAGAATATGTAAAGCGCAGCCAACTGACCTGACCTGACATTACAATACTTATGCTGACCTTCAATTACACCCGTGCCTGGACCATTCCAGTCAACACGAATCGTTGCACGACACCGCAGCTGTAGGTATTTAACACACCACTGACTCTCGGAAAGTACCGACACCCTGACCCGGCCACCAGAGCAGCTGCCCGCCGCCCGGCCCGGCCGGTCAAGGTCAACCAAGGTCACCGTCACGTCAGGGTGCGTGGGGCCCGTTCCACGACGCCTGACATGACCTGACTTGACCCGATATTGATATTGATCTCTCTATCGCGACTAATAAAGAATGTATGGTATTACTGATTATCTACTATCCAGCTTGGCACATACGCATGGAAAAGAACATCAGCACGACATGATCGTAGGAGATCCCGGAAAACAGAGCTTTTAAAACAATTATCTAACACCATGAGTATTTCTTACGATGAAACGTGCATTCAGCATGTTTCATTCATTTTATAGCGATCTCACTGCATTGTCCACCGTCGTCGTGCCGCTAATAATAGACCACTAGAGCCAGTCAAGGCTCATGGGCAGCCCTCTTGAAATGGGCGACGACAGAGCCCATTTGGTCCAACCGGCCGTGCAGTTACAGAGGTATCTACGGACCAGTGTCACCGTGTCGGTCACACGAGGCATTTCTGAGTTCCTGAGATCGGCGGGGTTTGAGATAGAAGAATGAAGAGAGAGAGAGAGAGAGAGAGAGAGAGAGAGAGAGAGAGAGAGAGAGAGAGAGAGAGAGAGAGAGAGAGAGAGAGAGAGAGAGAGAGAGAGAAAGAGAGAGAGAGAGAGAGAGAGAAAGAGAGAGAGAGAGAGAGAGAGAGAGAGAGAGAGAGAGAGAGAGAGAGAGAGAGAGAGAGAGAGAGAGAGAGAGAGAGAGAGGAGAGAGAGAGAGAGAGAGAGAGAGAGAGAGAGAGAGAGAGAGAGGTGACGAAGGACCATATAGGAGCGAGCGAAAGAGGAGAGGAAGGGGTGATTGTTGTTGCGGTATTGCAGATGCGGCATTGTGGTTATATGTAATACCTTCGTCTGAAATCACCTGCATCCATCTGGACAACTCCTGGAAGAAATGACTACATCGAAGCGGGTTGGTCGTACCGACTGTCGCATTAGCCTCGGATGGTAGCAAACTGTGTGATAATGCATCAGTCTAGTGGAGTGGAAATGAAACAATTTCCGCGCAGCCGTCACAGCAGAGCTCTTATCTAGGCAACTGCAGCCCGCTCTCTGCTAATGCCTTTCCGATTAGAATCGGAACCCCAGCCACAACCAATGCCGGCCGACAGACTCATATTCCTGGTGAGAATGGGAGCGATATTGCTATAAAATGCAAATGAAAGGGACATCAACACTGTGGAAGCCGTGTAAATCAGTCTGAGGAAATAAGTTGCGATTGATGATAAATCATTATCCATTTTTATCAGCTCAGGGTAAGTGATAATATAACATTTAATGCGACGAGAAAAACAACACTTTATTGTTAATTTATACCTGTTCTGGCGGCAGTAAAAGAGTTATCTCATTTAACATTGCTAGCTTTGTGTTATTCTGATTTCATTCCGGCACCCACTGCCGCTGACGGGGTCGTCGGTAGCGGTGACTGCGCTGCCCCTGCGATGACGGTGGCCGCGCTGGTAATGGTATTGGCGGCTGCGGCTGCGGAGAGGATGCGCCGACCGCACCCCTCTCCCTGATTTGCTCTCCGTATAGTGCAGCTCGCTCTGATGAGTAAACAAGACGACGGTGACGGTGGTAGTGGCCCTCCGTCGCCACAGAGACATTGACGACGGTGTATCACGAGACGTAGCTCTCGAGAGTCTGTCAGCCAGTTTCGGCTAAAGTAATGTTGGTTTCGGCTGCGACTGGGCACATGATTTGCACGATGCACGAAGAAAAGCATGCGTTGAAAAGAACATTCACACTCAGTCTCGTTTTCGGGTGTGAAAATGAGCTGCCCAGTCTTAGTAATAGCGGCTTCGGCGCTTACAAAGACCTTGCTAATATTTCCGGAGATTTAGATCTTGCAGCCAGCCCGCTGTGTCGGGTCCGCCCAAGCGGCGTAGGCTGCGCCAGATTCGTCTCAGTGAATAATGATCGTCGCTGTTCGCCGCTGCTGCGTCCTGTTGGCCGTCACTGAGTCATGTTCGCCGCTGGTGCGCCGTGTTCACTGCGCGGCAAATATTAATGGTCGCGTAGGGTTGGGCTCGGCACCATTTGTGTTCTGAGGAGTTTAGTTAGAGCCATTGGGTAGCGCGATTAGCCGCCCAGGCGGCCCTGTAAACGACGCACCACCGAACTCTGGTGGGTGGAGATAGCCATTGAAAAATAAACGCTGTGCCGAAGTACCATTTGGGAGGCAATTCCCATAATCAGTGACAGGCAATACCAGTCAGTCATGTGGCCGGGTTCAGCACTTGAAATTTTAGACATGCATTCACTATCTCGACGTAATGCAACACGATAATCTCGGCCACACTAAACGCAGCGGGGGACCAAAATTCCGCGTATGTGCTTGGGAGAATGCATCTCTGGAACTTATAGGTCGTAAGACATGTGATGGATCTCGTTTCTTTCAAACGCTTCAATATCTACAGGGCTATGTGGGGCTTCAATATCTGATGCCTCCTTCCCTCGGATAGTAGACGTAGTGGAAGGAATGGGAGGGGTAGCTGGGAACAGAAAAGGGGAAATAGAGGGTAGATGTATCCGCCCGAGGAAAAAGGAGTAGCAGCCGAATCCCCAGACCGGTTTACGAGGCAGTGATCTCCTGCATGAGTGCCGCAGACGCGTTGGAGTTGGCACGTGTACAGATTACGGAGCCAGGCCGCTGTGATAGCCCGCAGAGCTGTGATACGACGCAGAGTACTGCAGGACGACTTTCGAAGGAGTGGGTCCATCTGAAGAGCGTATCAGCAGAGAACGGGGGCTACAGTTGGTCCACTGACAGCACAACGGTTATGGAACACATTGTAGAGGCATTAGTGAAGTGAGGTGAGGCACCGTGAAGAAAACTTTTCATCTTTGCAGTCATTCCGATTGTTTTCATCATTGCAGTCATTCCTATTGCCCATGTCCGTCTGTATCTGTTTACCCTCATTATCCACCATTCCCCGGATTTTTTTTTTCTCTCGCCCCCCCCTCTCTCTCTCTCTCTCTCTCCTCTTACTCTCATTCTCTGAGACTCAAAGATTCCTCATCACAAATCTACCGCCCGAACCCAAGAGGGAGAGGTTCCCTAGTCACTGGGGACCATCACTCATCACATCAGTCATTAATGATGGAGCCCCGCCCGGTTTTCTAGATTATATGACGCTCACAAGCGGGACAGGCGGAACGTGATCAGACAGATAGTGCCAACTTTAGCGAGCCAGCTCCGCCGGAATTCGAGAGAACCGGCGACGAGAACGAAAATATGAAGGTGATTAGGACACGTGATAGTGTACTAAATCGGGCGACGGCTGCTACACTCAATTCCTTTGGTATGATGATAGTTACAAGAAATCGCAGAAAGTTACCAAGACAAGAGGTAACTAGCATTCTTAGCAACGGAAGAGCAGAGCCATGAAAAGCTGAGAGAGCTGATCATGATTTCCATTTTGAACAGTTTATGCCTGAAAATTGACAGCGACATTTAACCCGCGCACCGACGGGGGGGCGGATATCCACCCCCCCTGAGGTTTTTCGCGAATAGCGGGAAAACCGCGGCGCGTAGCGCCGCGAAATTTGGTATGACTATAACCTCATCAATTTTACACATGGTGTGCAAGTTTGAAATTCCTACCTTTTAAGGTCAGGTCACCAGGTCACTTTGAATGACCCAACCTCAAGTCACTTTTTTGCAACTTTGTCACCGTGCCACAGCTACAGTAGATGTCGGAGGCCTTTGAAAGTCGCAGGATATTATTAGGTCATTAGTAGCTACAATTTGTGTATCTCGGAATTTTGATATCGGTGACCTAAGGTCAGGTCAATTTCGCGACCTCCCCTTTATAAGTCAATGGGGGAAAAATCAACTCCCTGTTTTTACCACTAAAACGGGTCGGAATGGCCCCATATACTTTACATGACTTCATATACGATCAACCTTCACTACCTTGAGGTCTGTTTTGCTGTTGGGCAGCTGTGAGGTCATGTGACGTCATCAAAGGTCACCAAAGGTTTTTAGCCAATAACTCCGTACAGGAACAAGATACAGACGCGTGGATGGTCTCATTGTGTTCAGCTCGTCAAGACGCATCGAATGATATACATGATGACCTCGAGGTCACGTGACCTGAGGTCAACCTTTGACCTTGACCTTTCGAGGTCAAAATATATATCATTCGATGCGGATTGACGAGAGGATCACGATGATGCCCTTAGTTTGTTCCTATCTTGACGAATTCGAAAGTTATTCGAGAAAAACTCTCTCCATATCTAGCGCCGCCATTTTGACTTTTTCGACCCCTGTGACGTCATCTTTGACCTGACCTGAAAATGACCTTAGTAAAAATTGTAGATCTTGGCCGTGCGTATCCGATGCCGTTTACTGCTTGTCGCTATCTTGCTTCGTTCTCGAGATCTCAGGGGGGGGGGGGGCGGTCATCCGCCCCCCCCCCCGTCGGTGCGAAGTTGGCGCAGACCCCCGTCGGTGCGCGGGTTAACTTCTCTACCGGCATGCCATTGGTGCAGAACCCTCAACGCTTATGCATCGCGATACTTTAGGCACCACAGTATTTAAGTATCCGAGCAAATGAACCTGCAGAAATCGGTGCTCCAATAATGTCACATCAAAAGCCAAGTGAGCCAGTGACGCCACTCAGTCCATGGGGCACCTGTCGTACGATATAGAGCGAGAGAGACGTATGGAGCCGCAAATAGACGCAGGCTAACGTACGGGTCAAAGGCGAGCACATGCTGCAAAATATCAGAGGATAGAGTACATGGGTTCGATACAGAAGGTGAGACTAGCTTTCTTTCTTATGCAAGAGTAGGTATATGAAACAATACAAATGCACAAAGATATGGCGACATTTTTACTACCAACATAAATAATCATGATCAGCGTCAGTTTTAAACCTAATGCGTTAAATTTGATTTATCTGCCGCTCAAATGCCTTATCACAAA